AAACGCTAGACATCTTCAGAACATTTCAAGATTTATCGATGAAATATTTAAAGCAGTACGAAAACACAAAACAGAAAAGAGGTAATATATCCCTGCTAGACATACTGCCATCTTGTCACATACTAATACTTAATGTGAACATGCTTATTCTTGTGTACTCTTTTGTACCGTCGCCGGCGGTTTGAAGAGAAAAACCCGTTCTGTTCTGTTCAACACTGAAATTTAAAATAGACCTAAATAAATCAGTTGAACACAACATGTAGTCAACAATACTAGCGCCTCTGTTTACAAAACATGTAAAAGCACCACAAGAGCCACCCCGAGATCTACCGTTCAAAATACGGATTCCGTGGCGACAACATGAGTTAATTAATGGGGCCTTTACACAGGATGGCAACCTTCGTGCCTCCCGTGTGCGACCATAGAATTTGCCAGGTCGTCGTTGGAGGCTCAAAGGAGGCAGAATGGTTGCCTAGGTCGTTCCAAGGTGGTACACAGGAGGTTCAGACATCGCCATGGACGCCATGGTCGCCGTGAATATTTGAACATGTTCAAAACAGTCGCACAAAGGTCGCCCAGGAGGTTCGTTGCTCAAAGGTGGCTCAAAGGAGGCAGTAGGGAGGCACAAGTATTGCCGTTGTTGCAGAATGGAGGCACAGTGGTCGCCCAATGGTCGCCAGGTAATAGATGCGTTCTGCTGAAATATTGTCCAGTAAATGTGGGCGATGCTTCTGCGTCCCTTGTGCCTTCTTTGGGTGAACAACAGCGTGCATTGAACGATGAGTATTGCGACCGCCGTGCCTCCATTCGGCGACCACGGCATCCCTTGAGACACCATGGCAATGCTTCTGCCTCTTTTCTGCCTCATTTGAGCTACCTGTAGTGCCTCCTCAGCCTGCCTATAAATAGAGGGCTTGTACCTGCAGTGTTTCATTGTGGTTGCAGACGCTGAACAACTCGAGCAATTACTACTGAACAACTGCTTGAGCAGTTACATGGAAACATGACTTTCTTGGTTTAGGCGACCATTGAGCATCATGGCCAGGTTTTGATCGCTCGAAGGTGGTACAAAAGTCGCAGCCCTGTGTAATGGGGCCTTAAGTCTTTGCCAGAGTTATTAATCTCATTGTCTCGAGAAGAGCGCGGTGTATCAAACATGTCTGCAACATCCACTGCATCACTTCCGGGAATCTATTCATAATTCCCGGAAATGGCATAGTCCATGAGATGATATCTGCATCCCATGTTGTGATTTAAGTTATGTTACATCTTCATCAGAACCCGTGAAGATCCGGGGTAGAATAGGTCTTCAGCAACCCATGCTTGCCGTAAAAGGTGACTATGCTTGTCGTAAGAGGCGACTAACGGGATCGGGTGGTCAAAATCGCTGACTTGGTTGATGCATATCCTCGTATCCCAATTGCGTGGATCGATGCTCATGATATCATTACTGGATTGTCTGGTCCAGACTCGATTATTTACAGACCGCCGTCATATAGCTGGAATATAGTGCGGCGTTAAACAACAAACAAACCAAACCAAACATCTTTATCAAGATACTGTATACCTTTGATATCACGGCTGTCGCGACTGAAGATTATTCTGGATGTATGTACGCAAATCCGAGAATGATAGCCCTGTCTAATCTCGTGAATTGTGATTTAAACACAACAAAGATGCAGTCACTGTACGTCTAACATACTTGTGTGATACAATCTGTCAGTAGCCTGGGTATCACCACTGCTACGCCGTCTCTGTTATTATAGGTTCTGTGATTCAGGTAACAAGTGTGATTTGGGTAATAAAGCGACAAAACCCTTTTCATATCCAATAGAAATCTCTGCATAAAGCCGAGTCGATTGTACGCTTCCGACTTAATCGTGATCGTGTGTTTATGAATCACTATCAAATAGTGATGATACCGGGTGTTCGCGAAAAGGTCAGCGTATCCTGCCTCTACGGTGGCACCCGTCACAAACACATGCAACGGCAAGTTAATTGTTCACCTGAAAAAGCACCGGAACATATGGTACAAATCAAAATAGGGTACTGCATCGGACATAATTTTTGTCACTGATGAGTCAAATTTGGAAATGTCCTCCCCATGTCTACCGTAATTGTTTTGGAAAGCTTTACTGGGGCCTTGAATGTTGTAACCTTGATCAAACAACTTCTGAGCAAGAGTCTTATGACCAAAATTATTTCTGATGCAATTCCCTATTTTGACTTGTACCATATGCTTTCCACGCAATTGGGATACAATGACATGCACCAACCACCCGATCCCGTTAGTCGCCTCTTACGACAATCACCGTCACCTTTTACGGCAAGCATGGTTTCCTGAAGACCTATCCTACCCTGGATTTTCACTGGTGCGAACACCTAGTATCCTAACTATGTGATGGTGATTCATAAACGTATGCTTATTACTTAACGTATATCGTATATCTTTTTATTTGTATTTTAGTTCTTTTTCGCATGGTCTCCCAGTAAACAAACAACTTGGGCCAATCCTTGCTCGTAGACACGCTCACATAGTGCCACGTGACCCTATTCCATATTGCCGAGATTTGAAAAACGTCTCCAAGTCATATTATAATGTCGTCATCTTTAAACTCATTAAATGTGATATGATTGATGGCAAGACATGTTTCTACCTTCAAAGATAAAATAGCTGATGCTTCGGGCATTGAAGAGCGAAAGCATTAGGTGGGAATAGAGCTGTTGTGAATTCTGTATCCGAGGGATGTTAGTGCAAAGGAAAATGCATTTATGCACCCACTATTCTAATATTATGTTCAGGTATTCAAAAAGTACATTTGAGCATCAGAAACTTTAATTTTTGTTCGGCATAAATGAGGTGAGGTGAGGTGAAATTGGGTTTAACGTCGCGTCCAAGATTATTGCACTTATATAGCGACGTGCATGTACGTGTGTGTGTGTGTGTGTGTGTGTGTGTGTGTGTGGCTGCTTGTACTTGTCCGGACTGGTGCCGATTTATAGTGCTACCCCACTCAGACACAGTATACTGCCTCCGAGCCGACCAGTCCTTGCTTTAGCCCCTTAATGCCGAGCGCCAGACAGGGTAACAACAAGTACCATCTTTTAACGTCTTTTGGTATGGCGCGGCCGGGGATCGAACCCCGGACCTTCCGCTCTCCGGGCGGACGCTCTACCACTAGACCACGGAGGCGGTCACGGCATAAATGAAGTTGATGAGTGAGTGAGTTTGTTGTTTAACGCCGCGCTCTGCAATATTCCAGCTATTTGTCTGTTCTGTAAATAATTGAGTCTTGACCAGACAATCATTGACATCATGACACCATGAGATCATGAGCATCGTTCCACGCAATTGGGATACGATCACAAATAGTAATCAAGTCAGCAAGCCTGACTACCCGATCCCGTTAGTCGCCTCTTACGACAAGCATAGTCGCCTCTCACGGCAAGCATATGATGCTGAAGACCTATTCTATCCCGGATCTTAAAGGCGTTGGGGTAGCCTAGTGGTTAAAGCGTTCGCTCATCACGCCGAAGACCCGGTTCGATTCCCCACATCGGTTACGTACAATAGGTGAATCCCTTTTCTGGTGTCCCCCACCGAATATGACTAAGAGCGGCGTAAAACCGTACTCACTCAATCAATGAATCATATATTTCCATCGCCGTTTTGCCTCTTTGGAATCTGTAACGCAAGATAATCGAGAACGATTATTGTGTGGCGTTGGCGTTATTATAAGTTGTAGCAGGATCACGTGGGATGGGGTTTTATGCGTCCCTCGTAATGTTTTATACCAGTCGCCGGAACATGGGGTTTTATGCGTCCCTCGTAATGTTTTATACCAGTCGCCGGAACATGGGGTTTTATGCGTCCCTCGTTATGTTTTATACCAGTCCCGGAACATGGGGTTTTATGCGTCCCGCGTAATGTTTTACACCAGTCGCCGGAACATGGGGTTTTATTCGTCCCGCGTTATGTTTTATACCAGTCGCCGGAACATGGGGTTTTATTCGTCCCTCGTTATGTTTTATACCAGTCGCCGGAACATGGGGTTTCATGCGTCCGTCGTTATGTTTTATACCAGTCGCGGAACATGGGGTTTTATGCGTCCCTCGTTATGTTTTATACCAGTCGCCGGAACATGGGGTTTTATGCGTCCCTCGTTATGTTTTATACCAGTCCCGGAACATGGGGTTTTATGCGTCCCTCGTTATGTTTTATACCAGTCGCCGGAACATGGGGTTTTATTCGTCCCGCGTTATGTTTATACCAGTCCCGGAACATGGGGTTTTATTCGTCCCGCGTTATGTTTTATACCAGTCGCCGGAACATGGGGTTTTATGCGTCCCGCGTTAGGTACAAAACCTAACGAGGGACGCATAAAACCCCATGTACCCGACTGATCCTGCTACAACGAATTTATCTTACCGACATGTTTTAAAAGGATTAAAACAATTTCAAAATTGATAGAAAACAGCTGTTCGATTGAGCGGAGGTGAGCTTGCGCTATGTCACGTGGCTTCCATTGACTCGGAAAAAGTGTGCGGCTTTTTCCTTGGAAGCGGGATATAAGGGATTTTTTCTGCCTCTCAGAAATCCACGTCCAGCCTGACTAGCCCTAGGCGGGGTATAAGAGATTTATTCCCCGCTGAGAAATTTATTTCCGTCCAAGGCGAGATACACAGTATTTTATCAAGATCACGTGTACCAATCAGATCATTCTGACATGGAGGTATGATAAAGGTTTAATTTTTTTATCTAAATGGTCTGAGATAATGTTCGTTTGGATAAATGTAACGCGTGCTGTCTATTTTATACATATAAAATAGACCAATTATATATATTTATATATTATTTGATATATTACAGATTTAATCTTAATTAAACCTTCAGAGTAATTATTTCAAAGATTTTAAAACTCAGAATAAACATAGAGAATAACATTATTTTCTTAAAACATGTCCAGCGTTGATAGATTGAAAAAAACATTTCACATACCTGCGGCTACGGCAACAGGGATGTTGCAATAGATCACCCTGTTTCCACCGCCTGTCAAAATGACCATATAAACGGCCCTGGAGGAGGAAGACCTTCCAGATCTTGTAGCAGATTCTTATCTGAAGTTCAAGATTGTCAGGATTCTGTGAGTAAAAACTTTTGTATTCTTTAAATTTATTATACTTTCTTCCGTTTCTTAATCGCGGACAGTGAGGTGTGTTTAGGAAATGAGCGTACGTACAAAGACTCGAGGTCGCTGTCCTCAAAGCGATCAAAGTGCTGTGGTTGTCTTTATTAGGGTTTGCAAAGGTTTGGTTCAATCTTAAAGATTTGAAGTGTCTTTGTACAAACCATCCTTAGCTCTATCATTGTCGTAAGTATATGGCAAGGTGTGGGAGTAATGGTCATCTTGGCGCTAACATCGTTTTGTAAAACGGTACCCTGGAGTTCAAATAAACTGAAGGTGAGTTTTCGCGAATAGGTGATGTCATCTACGAAAGCCTAATGATGCCGCTTTGATACAATAATTATTTTTTTCCATACGTTATTTCAATTATTTTCTCGTTACTTCGATTATCTTCTCGTTATTTCAAGTTTATTTCAAACAATGGAAATTTCCACACAAAAATCGTTATTTCAAGTTTGTTACAATTACTCTAAATTTCGATTTTCTTCTCGTTACTTCGATTATTTGCTTTATTACAATTATTTTCTTGTTATTTCAAGTTTATTTCAAAAACTCGAAATTTCGAAAAGATAATTGAAATAACGAGAAAATAATCGAAGTAACGAGAAAATGGTCGAAGTAATCGAAATTTCAAATAAATAGTTGAAATAATGAGAAACTTCGATTTAAAATAAAATATAATTATGGTAACATAGTGGCACCATTAGGATTTCGTAGTCATCACCGATTCGCATCCATTCATATAATTTTCACCGCTATGGGCGTGGGTTGCTGAGGACCTGTTCCATCCCGGATCTTCACGGGTCTTTTTCAGGATTGAGTTTGTAGTTTCAAGTTGGCGAAACACATTTCAATTTCATTTCTCAAGTTCATTTGACAAAACAATTCATACTGTCTGTTTCAAAATAGGGCAAATGCGGATTTGAGGTTTTGCATCTATCTTTTTTGTTGTACTATATATTCATGTTTTTAACGACTAAAATAACTAGGTGGGTTGAGCACAGTGGTTTTCTTGTGGCGGGAGTATCATCTCTGAAGGTATCCGCCTCAATGCTCTCTATGGGTTCGAATCCCAGATCCGACCCGATTACGATCTTTGGCGCATCGCCACCACACCTGTGATCGTGAGTTTCACCACAGTGGAAAACGAATCAACCTGCGCCAGATTGAGTTTTCACCACAATCATATAACATAAACGCAGGCGTTAAACCGAACAAGTGCAGAATGCGTTTTCACCGCAACCATATAACATAAACGTTAAACCGAACCCTTGAATTTTCCCCATTATCTTATAACATAAACGCAGGCGTTAAACCGAACCAGTGCAGATTGCGTTTTCACCGCAACCATATAACATAAACGTTAAACCGAGCCCTTGAATTTTCCCCATTATCTTATAACATAAACGCAGTCGTTAAACCGAACCAGTGCAGATTGCGTTTTCACCGCAACCATATAACATAAACGTTAAACCGAGCCCTTGAATTTTCCCCATTATCTTATAACATAAACGCAGGCGTTAAACCGAACAAGTGCAGATTGCGTTTTCACCGCAACCATATAACTTAAACGTTAAACCGAACCCTTGAATTTTCCCCATTATCTTATAACATAAACGCAGGCGTTAAACCGAACCAGTGCAGATTGCGTTTTCACCGCAACCATATAACATAAACGTTAAACCGAGCCCTTGAATTTTCCCCATTATCTTATAACATAAACGCAGGCGTTAAACCGAACCAGTGCAGATTGCGTTTTCACCGCAACCATATAACATAAACGTTAAACCGAGCCCTTGAATTTTCCCCATTATCTTATAACATAAACGCAGGCGTTAAACCGAACCAGTGCAGATTGCGTTTTCACCGCAACCATATAACATAAACTCTGGCGTTACACCGAACCCTTGCAGATTGCGTTTTCACCACAATCATATGGCATAATCTCAGGCGTTAAACCGAGTCCTTGCAGATTGAGTTTTCACCGCAATCATATAACATAAACTCAGGCGTTACACCGAACCAGTGCAGATTGAGTTTTCATCAAAACCATATGACATAAACGTTAAACCGAGCCCTTGAATTTTCCCCATTATCTTATAACATAAACGCAGGCGTTAAACCGAACAAGTGCAGATTGCGTTTTCATCAAAACCATATGACATAAACGTTAAACCGAACCCTTGCAGATTGCGTTTTCACCACAATCATATGACATAAACGCAGGCGTTAAACCGAGCCCTTGCAGATTGAGTTTTCACCGCAATCATATAACATAAAGTCAGCCGTTAAACCGAGCCCTTGCAGATTGAGTTTTCACCACAATCATATAACATAAACTCTGGCGTTAAACCGAGCCCTTGCAGATTGAGTTTTCACCACAATCATATAACATAAATTCTGGCGTTAAACCGAGCACTTGCAGATTGAGTTTTCACCACAATCATATAACACATAGTGTTAAACCGAGCCCTTGCAGATTGAGTTTTCACCGCAATCATATAACATAAACTCATGCGTTACACCGAACCCTTGCAGATTGAGTTTTCACCACAATCATATAACATAAACTCAGGCGTTACACCGAACCCTTGCAGATTGAGTTTTCACCACAATTATATAACATTAACTCTGGCGTTACACCGAACCCTTGCAGATTGAGTTTTCACCGCAATCATATAACATAAACTCAGGCGTTACACCGAACCCTTGCAGATTGAGTTTTCACCACAATTATATAACATAAACTCTGGCGTTACACCGAACCCATGCAGATTGAGTTTCACCACAATTATATAACATAAACTCAGGCGTTAAACCGAGCCCGTGCAGATTGAGTTTCACCACAATCATATAACATAAACTCTGGCGCTACACCGAACCCGTGCAGATTGAGTTTCACCACAATCATATAACATAAACTCAGGCGTTACACCGAACCCTTGCAGATTGAGTTTTCACCACAATTATATAACATTAACTCTGGCGTTACACCGAACCCTTGCAGATTGAGTTTTCACCGCAATCATATAACATAAACTCAGGCGTTACACCGAACCCTTGCAGATTGAGTTTTCACCACAATTATATAACATAAACTCTGGCGTTACACCGAACCCATGCAGATTGAGTTTCACCACAATTATATAACATAAACTCAGGCGTTAAACCGAGCCCTTGCAGATTGAGTTTCACCACAATCATATAACATAAACTCTGGCGTTACACCGAACCCTTGCAGATTGAGTTTTCACCACAATCATATAACATAAACCCTGGCCTTATCCCGAACCCTTGCAGATTGAGTTTTCACCACAATCATATAACATAAACTCTGGCGTTAAACCGAACCCTTGCAGATTGAGTTTTCACCACAATCATATAACATAAACGTTGACCCGAACCCGTGCAGATTGCTTGTTCACCACAATCATATAACATAAACTCAGGCGTTAAACCGAGCCCTTGCAGATTGAGTTTTCGCCGCAATCATATAACATAAACTCAGGCGTTACACCGAGCCCTTGCAGATTGAGTTTTCACCGCAATCATATAACATAAACTCAGGCGTTACACCGAGCCCTTGCAGATTGCGTTTTCACCACAATCATATAACATCAACTCAGGCGTTAAACCGAGCCCTTGCAGATTGTGTTTTCGCCGCAATCATATAACATAAACTCTGGCGTTACACCGAACCCTTGCAGATTGCGTTTTCACCACAATCATATGGCATAATCTCAGGCGTTAAACCGAGTCCTTGCAGATTGAGTTTTCACCGCAATCATATAACATAAACTCAGGCGTTACACCGAACCAGTGCAGATTGAGTTTTCACCACAATCATATAACATAAACTCAGGCGTTACACCGAGCCCTTGCAGATTGAGTTTTCACCACAATCATATAACATAAACTCTGGCGTTACACCGAACCCTTGCAGATTGAGTTTTCACCGCAATCATATAACATAAACGTTGACCCGAACCCTTGCAGATTGCGTTTTCACCACAATCGTATAACATAAAGTCAGGAGAAAAACCGAGCCCTTGCAGATTGAGTTTTCGCCGCAATCATATAACATAAACTCTGGCGTTACACCGAACCCTTGCAGATTGAGTTTTCACCGCAATCATATAACATCAACTAAGGCGTTAAACCGAGCACTTGCAGATTGAGTTTTCGACGCAATCATATAACATTAACTCAGGCGTTAAACCGAAGCCTTGCTGATTGAGTTTATACCACAATCATACAACATAAAGTCAGGCGTTAAACCGAACCCTTGCAGATTGAGTTTTCGCCGCAATCATATAACATAAACTCAGGCGTTACACCGAGCCCTTGCAGATTGAGTTTTCGCCGCAATCATATAACATAAACTCAGGCGTTACACCGAGCCCTTGCAGATTGAGTTTTCGCCGCAATCATATAACATAAACTCAGGCGTTACACCGAGCCCTTACAGATTGAGTTTTCACCACAATCATATAACATAAACTCAGGCGTTACACCGAACCCTTGCAGATTGTGTTTTCACCACAAACATATAACATAAACTCTGGCGTTACACCGAACCCTTGCAGATTGCGTTTTCACCACAATCATATAACATAAACTCAGGCGTTAAACCGAGCCCTTGCAGATTGAGTTTTCACCACAATCATATAACATAAACGTTGACCCGAACCCATGCAGATTGCGTGTTCACCACAATCATATAACATAAACGTTAAACCGAACACTTGCAGATTGAGTTTTCACCACAATCATATAACATAAGCGCTGGCGTTAAACCAAACTCCTCATTTTACTTTCAGCACCAGACATGAAGACAGTCCAGCTCCTCCTCGTGGTCATGGCCATGGCCGCAGTGGCCCGTGCCTTGTACCCATTCCCATACATGCATAGTCCCCTGCTCCTCGGGGCCCGTATGCACGGCCTTCACTCCGGATTGGGTATCTACGGCCTTGGCCAGGGGTCATACATGGGTGGAAGCTACCCTTATATGGGTCACGGGGGGTCATACCTCGGACACGGAGGGTCGTATCCTTACTATGGTGGCAGTATCTCCTATCCCGTACACCTAGACGGCCTGGGCCATGCTGGTCAGAGTGGATCCTACCCCTACTCTGGTCTCGGTGGATCCTATCCCTACGCAAGCTCATCCGGTTCCTATCCCTACGTACACCTAGACGCCCCAGGCCATGCTGGTCATAGTGGATCTTACCCCTACTCTGGTCTCGGTGGATCCTATCCCTACGCTAGTTCCACCGGTAGCTCGTATCCCTACGCCGGGTCAGTTGGCTCATATCCCTACGCCGGGTCAGTTGGCTCATATCCCTACGCCGGGTCAGTTGGCTCATCTCCCTACGCCGGGTCAGTTGGCTCATATCCCTACGCCGGATCAGTTGGCTCATATCCCTACGCCGGATCAGTTGGCTCATATCCCCACGCCGGATCAGTTGGCTCATATCCCTACGCCGGGTCAGTTGGCTCATATCCCTACGCCGGGTCAGTTGGCTCATATCCCTACGCAGGAGGTCAAACTAGCGTGTATCCCCAGACCAGTCCTTATTTACACGGACACAGCCTGATCCATTAGATTCCATGGGATCCAGTTCAGGTAGGTAATAGCCTCCGCTTCATTTTCCAAAGCCTTGAACGAGTAATTTTAACAGCAAAATCACTTTCGAATATCAAGGGTATTATACCTCCATGATATTATATAGGGGGCACGAGTGGCCCAGTCGTCTAAGGCGCCGCGATTCGCTGTGCAGAGTTGCGTCCCTTGGGCACGCCAGAAACCTATGATTGTGGGTTCGAATCCCGGTTCGCCCCTATTATGTTTCTAGGTTTGTCAGCACCATACCCGTGCTCGTGGGTTTCACCGAAGTGGTAAACGTCTGAGACCTGCATCACTTCGTGCTTTCCTCCCACATTAAGCTGACATGCTGCGATATAACTGGAATACTGTTAAAAGCGGCGTTAAACCCAACTCACTCACTCACTCACTAGTATATAGATATAATACACTGGATGATTGAGATTGCCTCAAAATACATATTCGAGGAATATATACGTTTTTACTCTGTTGTAATTTCTTAGATATTATTATTATTAGACTTATATTATATATACTCACTTCCAAACGATCAATAGGAATGTTCATATATTCACCTCCAAAACAAACGCACACTCTAAAGAGGTAATATGCATACATCTTTTCGTTTTCGGACATTTCATATTTTAGGGTGTGCATTTGTTTTGGATATGAGTATATCAACATCACTTTTGTTCCAACATGCATTATGTTGGAAATAGGCTTAAGTTTTGATCATCAGCTTCCAAATCGTTTGTGTACAGGTTATGATCCTTGTATTCAACGTCATTCCACGACTTTATTTCAGTTCAAGGTCAAGGCCAAGGCCGAACCTGCCGAAATGGAAAACGCGTCAGATCCAATATACCTGTGTACCAGTAGAATAAACACTGTCTTTTAATCATTTGTGTCCCATTCTCTTTCAAAGCTGCGATTAAGCAACAAGCCATTAGGACAAACAGATTTATTTGTTATTTAATGACTAATTTACAGACCGCCTCCGTGGTCTAGTTGTAGAGCGTCCGCCCGTAGAGCGGAAGGTCCGGGGTTCGATCCCCGACCGCGTCATACCAAAAGACGTTAAAAGATGGTACTTGTTATTACCCTGTCTGGCGCTCGGCATTAAGGGGCTTAATTAAGGACTGGTCGGCTCGGAGTCAGTATACTGTGTCTGAGTGGGGTATTCATGTTAAACTGCGGCATAGTATCTCAGTGAGCTAGCACTATAAATCGGCATCAGTCCGGACTAGTACAAGCAGCCACACAAACACACACACGTACATGCACGTCGCTATATAAGTGCAATAATCTTGGACGCGACGTTAAACCACATTTCATCGGAAGGGCCGGGGTTCGATGCGTGCGTGCGTGCGTGCGTGCGTGCGTGCGTGCCTGTGCCTAGCGCCAGGATGGGTTACAACAAGTACTATGTATTACGGTCTCTTGGTAATCCGCAAACATCGACCTTCCCCTATCCGAGAAAGACGGTCTATCCACCACATTACGGAGTCGCTCTTCTCCGTCCTTCTCATCAATGTGAAGTTGGTATTAGCCGATATTCGGCTTTTCCATTGGACGAGAGGCCGGTCACATGACGCTCATAAACGTATACATGTATATGAACGACACATTTTGACGTTCGGGCGTCTTAGTGGGATCTACTACAGTTACCTAAACGCATTGTCTTTCCTTATTGTCATGGTCAGTTAATCCATGACCTTACAGCTCGTCTGGACATCATCGGCTCATCTCAAGTCGTGATTGGTCTATCGACGCCTACTCCGAATTGTCTTCATCAGCATTTATACTCGCATAATAAAGAAACGCAACACCAGCTCGAAACTCACTTTAGTTTTACTTACTCTCAGTCTATCTATCAATACACGACAGGATCGGACCGGCCAGGCTCGTCACTGAGTGGGGAGAACTTAGAAGGATCATGGTTCGACTCGATCGACTGCAAACCGCACTCTCCTCTCCTAATGTTGACGGTATCATTTTAAAGTGTTCAGGCCTGGCCTGTCTTTGTCACCTGTCTTCATAGATCATTTTAATTGGTTGAGAACAATATCAGATCATGAACTCGTGCGTGTTTGTGTTGTGATCAGCAAATTACCAGAACCCACTAACCGATTAAAGATGTCTATTGATTAATTGGCGACAACACCACCGAAGCTATCCCGAAGTATCCTGTCACTGTCGTCGCCATATTGATTTCCTGATTGTTTGCGCCAACACTTCGGCTTTCATCGGGTTTTTTAAGTATAACCATCAATTTAAAGGTTGACTTTGTTATAATTTTCTAAGGTTTTGGGGATGCATTTTTACCTCATAACACTTCCACATTCCTGAGGAAAACCCTGGGGTTCCTTTGTAGGAATTAAAACAGAAGCCTTGTTTCAGATAATTTAACCACGTTAATCTTGCATTCATTGAAAAAGGTTTGACTGCATGCACGTGACCGAATATCGTCGCTACGACTCATCATAGCGAACAGAACGAAAAAACGCAAGCCCAGACTATCGACTCGGTTCGTATCTAATCGACACCTCTTTATAGTCTTTGCTCGTCACGCCGAAGACCCGGGTTCGATTCCCGACATGGGTACAATGTGTGAAGCCTATTTCTGGTGTCCCCCGCCGTGATATTGCTGGAATATTGCTAAAAGCGGCGTAAAACCATACTCACTCACTCTTTATAGTCACCGGCCAGGATCCACAAATAATCGCCACAGGTTCATTGGCGACTTCGGAAATCTGCCGTCACGGTGATCGTGTTGGCCATCTTGACGTCCTGTACTTGAAGAAAATTATCATTGTGACTGACAACGTAGTTCTAAACAGACATTCTTATCTAATGATGATTGTTTGAATACATTTGCTGTAACCAACCTACAAAAGACTTTACTACAGAACATGTGAGGTGAGGTGAGGTGAAATTGGGTTTAACGTCGCGTCCAAGATTATTGCACTTATATAGCGACGTGCATGCACGTGTATGTGTGTGTGTGGCTGCTTGTACTAGTCCGGACTGATGCCGATTTATAGTGCTAGCTCACTGAGATACCATGCCGCAGTTTAACATGAATACCCCACTCAGACACAGTATACTGACTCCGAGCCGACCAGTCCTTGTTTTAGCCCCTTAATGCCGAGCGCCAGACAGGGTAACAACAAGTACAATCTTTTAACGTCTTTTTGTATGACGCGGCCCGGGATCGAACCCCGGACCTTCCACTCTCCGGGCGGACGCTCTACCACTAGACCACAGAGGCGGTCACAGAACATGTGAGCATGCGTAGTTTCTCTCGTTTGGAGTAGCTGTCTTTTCACAAAACAACTGGTTGTATGGCTGTCCATGTAAACATGCAGTCACGCTTGCTAAAAGTGTTTCTACATCCTTGAGGTATAAAATGGGGATATAAAAGATGATGGGTTCCGACGTCCATACATACAGTTTGTTCCTCACTCTATGGAGGTTCACACTGCAGTGATGTTAATTCTTAATTGCAGTCATTTTGCCAGATGTTGTTAATTGCAGTGTGCATTACTGAATAGGATTTGATCGATACTAACATGTTAGCTGGCGTTGCAGCTTAATAGTCATCGAAAAAGACCGGTAAATGTAATCATAAACCATGTGTAGAGTTAACATTATAGAGAGCTCCTAAGCGCGGATCCAGCATTTTTAAAATGGAGGAGTCCAAAATATACTACACTCTGGCTCCGACCAAAACATAGCAACATTTCCCACAATCACAACTTAAGAGTCAAGGGTACGGAAGCCTTTAGGGCCATTTGTTTTGTTTTTTAAAAATTGTTTTCGATACTATCTTGAAATTTCAAGATACTAAGTTGAAATTTCAAGATGCTATCTTGAAATTTCAAGATACTAACATGAAATTTCACACAAAGGTCGCACCAGGTAAACAATAATTTCAGTTTTCCAGCGGCAATTGATTGTGGGTAATCTGAAAAGCTTGGGAGCCCTTAGACTAACATTTAGTCTCTGAAATCTTATATTACACAATATCCTTCTTGACTCTAAAAATATAAAAAATATTTCCCTATGCTGATTTCAGAATAGAGCTAGCTTGAGCTGGCTAGACTTGCTTTTGTATACGTTTCTAGATTATTTTTTTTCATAAAATAAATATATTCCACGGTCATGGTGCAGGACTAGGGAGCCCTCTGTAGCACTCTGTGCTTTTGTTACACAAGGACGTGACCTAGACCGTGTGTAACATCGACATTTGATGGCTGGCTGGAATGAGGTGTGACCATGACCAAGGATGAGAATTGGGATGAATCTGGGATTCAAACGACGACCATGGAGATCCTTGCAGACAAGGGAAGCAACTCTGCCAAGAAAATTGCAACTGGATCAACTCCATAGAAGTTATGTGTGTGAGTGTGTGGGTGTGTGAGTGAGTGAGGGAAGGAGTGAGAGAAGAAGTGACACGCACACTAAATCCAAAACGTCCAAGCAGATCTTAGACTCCTCTGTGAATAAAAGAGATATGGCATTAATACTTACCAAATTCCATCTTTCGTTTGTAAATAATATAGGCGTTAACGCTTGAGAACAAAGTTCATTTCTTGACCTGGAAACCTGTGTTAGGTCATTTATGAACTGTCGGAGGACCACAGTGATTCATTAATTTGACAACCGCCTCCGTGGTCTAGTGATAGAGCGTCCGCCCAGAGGTCCGGGGTTCGATCCCCGACCGCGTCATACCAAAAGACGTTAAAAGATGGTACTTGTTGTTACCCTGTCTGGCGCTCGGCATTAAGGGCCTAAAACAAGGACTGGTCGGCTCGGAGTCAGTATACTGTGTCTGAGTGGGGCATCATGTTAAACTGCGGCATGGTATCTCAGTGAGCTAGCACTATAAATCGGCACCAGTCCGGACTAGTACAAGCAGCCACAAACACACACACGTACATGCACGTCGCTATATAAGTGCAATAATCTTGGACGCGACGTTAAACCTCATTTCACCTCACCTCACCACAATTAATTTGACCTGATAAGTAACGGCGGTAATGGTTACTGTATTAATTTTGTGGTTTCGATATTTTCCATTTTCCAAACAAAGAATACGAAGGATGACATCTTATAATTATGAAGTAAATTGTTTTTTATGAATAACGCAGTTTCATATTTTCACACGGAAGACGTACACTTCACATCAACCAATGGGATATCAACGGTGAAATGTAATTGGTTTAAGATATCAGTTCTTTATCTTCACCTTGAAATTTTACAGATAGTTTACTTTTTTATATATCTGATTTTGTAAAAGCCGTTCTGCTGAATAAAAACGCGATTAAAAGATATGTGCATGTAGGAAAGCTTAATGTTGTCACCTTTTTGCATAATTTTATTTTTTTAATCGAGTATTTTTCTCGTTATTTAAATTACTTTAGACAAATTCTCGAAATTTCGAGCTTTTTATCGTGACTTCGATTATTTTCTCAAATTTTCGATAAAACATATTAGATAAAATTGAAATAACGTCAAAATTTAACCAAAGTAACCAGTAAGAATGCGAAAATTCGAAATAAATAAACAAAATAATTGAATAACGAGGAATTTCGATTTAAACAAAATACATTTTGTTACCAAAGTTTCACCATTAGGGTTTCGTGCCTATGAACATACGGTCATTAACTACACCACATTCATTTGATATTCAGAAACACAAAGTTTATTGAGCGAGTATTGTGTAGACACGTGGAGGACATTTGTAAGTCACGATTGCAATTCCCTATTGTGAACAATACGTTTTTCGGTGAACAATTGACTTGCCTTTGCCTGTGTTTGTGACGGGTGCCACGGTTGGGCAGCATACGCTCTACTCTTCGCGAGCATCTGGCATGATCACTAATTGATAGTGAT